GCCTGCCTCAGCATCAGCCTGCCTCAGCCTCAGCCTCAGCCTGCCTCAGCCTCAGCCTCAGCCTGCTTCAGCCTCAGCCTCAGTCTGCCTTCAGCCTCGGCCTCAGCCTCAGCCTGCCTCAGCCTCAGCCTGCCTCAGCCTCAGCCTCAGCCTCAGCCTCACCTCAGCCTCAGCCTCAGCCTGCCTCAGCCTCAGCCTCAGCCTCAGCCTCAGCCTCAGCCTCAGCCTCAGCCTGCCTCAGCCTCAGCCTCAGCCTCAGCCTCAGCCTCCTGCCTCAGTCAGCCTCAGCCTGCCTCAGCCTCAGCATCAGCCTCAGCCTCAGCCTCAGCCTCAGCCTCAGCCTGCCTCAGCTCAGCCTGCCTGCCTCAGCCTCACCTGCCTCAGCCTCAGCCTCAGCCTGCTTCAGCCTCAGCCTCAGTCTGCCTTCAGCCTCGGCCTCAGCCTCAGCCTGCCTCAGCCTCAGCCTGCATCAGCCTCAGCCTCAGCCTCAGCCTGCCTCAGCATCAGCCTGCCTCAGCCTCAGCCTCAGCCTGCCTCAGCCTCAGCCTCAGCCTGCTTCAGCCTCAGCCTCAGTCTGCCTTCAGCCTCGGCCTCAGCCTCAGCCTGCCTCAGCCGCAGCCTGCATCAGCCTCAGCCTCAGCCTCAGCCTCAGCCTCAGCCTCAGCCTCAGCCTGCCTCAGCCTCAGCCTCAGCCTCAGCCTCAGCCTCAGCCTCAGCCTCAGCCTCAGCCTCAGCCTCAGCCTGCTTCAGCCTCAGCCTCAGTCTGCCTTCAGCCTCGGCCTCATCCTCAGCGTGCCTCAGCCTCAGCCTGCATCAGCCTCAGCCTCAGCCTCAGCCTGCCTCAGCATCAGCCTGCCTCAGCCTCAGCCTCAGCCTGCCTTTGCCTCAGCATCAGTCTGCCTTCAGCCTCGACCTCAGCCTCAGCCTGCATCAGCCTCAGCCTGCCTCAGCCTCAGCATCAGCCTGCCTCAGCATTCAAAATGTGGCCCGGGAATGGAGTTCTGGGAACTCGAAGAACACGAAGTGGCCTACAGTTGGCTCCGGGCATTCGAAATCATGCCCAGGAATGGAGTTCTGGGAAGTCGAAGACCACGAAGTGGCCTACAGTTGGCTCCGGGCATTCGAATTCATGCCCAGGAATGGAGTTCTGGGAACTCGAAGAGCACGAAGTGGCCTATAGTTGGCTCCGGGCATTCAAAATGTGGCCCAGGAATGGAGTTTGGGGAACTCGAAGAGCACGAAGTGGCCTACAGTTGGCTTTGGGCATTCAAAATGTGGCCCAGGAATGGAGTTCTGGGAACTCGAAGACCACGAAGTGGCTTACAGTTGGCTCCGAGCATTCAGAATGTGGCCCGGGAATGGAGTTCTGGGACCTCGAAGACCACGAAGTATGTAACTGTTGGCTCAAAAGAGAGTCCCCGGCACTCCCCCGGATCGCGCCCAGACCCCTTTGGGGCGTCATGATGCTCTCTTTTGACCCTACTAGAAACCTATCAGTCTTCGCTGTTAGGTAAGAAGACGCCCTGTAGAAAAGATTGGCCCTTGGCGGGGGAGGCGACTCGAAAAACACCGAGTCGTCAGATTTGGTCTACGCATGCCCCGTACGGCCTCGCCAGACCCTCCGTTGTCATGGTCTGAAAGGCCCCAAACGGTACGGTGACCACACCGTGTGGTGAGTCATTGGGGATTCGGGGTGACCGCAAAGTCTTTGTTGGACTCGGGCCGCTCTCCGAGGATGTCTCGGGCAATTGTGGCCTCCAGGGTCCCAAACCCGTGCGGTGACGGACCGTGTGGTGAGGCCGGTGACCGCACGGTCTGTCTCCGCACCGTGTTGGGAACCCCAGGCTATGGTTGGTCACCACGTGGAGCACCTCAGCACTCGAGCTCTCACCGCCCCGTTCGCGTGGGCCTCATCCGCACGGGGCTGGGCTTCTGCGAAGGGCCAGGGGGGCCCCCAGAGCGCCTCTGGAGGAAGGGCTGGCCGCCCTGGCCCCTCCGCAGAGGAGGAGCAGAGACCGCCGCCCCCGCGAAGCCATCGGGGGAGGGGGGGGGGGGGGGGGCGACCCCTGGGCGGTGGCACGCCCGAGCGTCACCCAGACCGACGCTCCGGCGCGCCGTCCGCCCGCGGGTGGGTCCCTCCCGCTGGCTTCTCGGCGGCGGTGGCCTCCGTCTCTCCTCGGATCTCCGGTGCGCCTGCGGTCCAGCGGTGCTCTCGGCCTCACCCCACGGCCTGCGACGCGGGAGGCTGGGCTTCTGCAGCGCCAGGGGCTTGGCATCGCTCGGACGTGTGCATTTGTCTCGGCGGAGGCCGTCGAGGAGCATCCTGGATCATCGTGCGACAAAGAAGCGCTAGAAACCGAAGAATGCACGGGCTGTGGACTTCCGAGCGATAGCAAGGGGGAAGGAGCGGGCCCGACTCGATCGGGCCGGCCGCCCTGGCTCTGTTCAGGGCGTCCTGCAGTAGTCGGGACGATCGACAGGTGCACGGAAAGAGTGGGCACAAAGACTAAGACCGACAGGAACAGGACCCGTTGTCGGTGTCGCCGCGGACGGGGTCCATTTGAGGCACAGGGCCGCCTGCCCGACAGCGGCCGCTGTTGGTGGTGGACAATATTTGCCGTCGGGCATCGTACCCGCTCTTGCTGTACCCATCCCGGGCGTCCAGACCAGATTTCCGACGGCCCGATCGTTTTGAGACGGCAGCCTCGGGTGCCCTCGGCCGCTCGGCCCCAGAAACAGCCCCCGCGACGCCGAAGATTGCCTCGAAGGCTTGCGGCGCGGCACGTCGAGTCGCCAGGGGATCGGGGAGGTCCAGCGGCACCCCGCACTCCTCCCCCCCCTCCTCCTCCTCCGCCCTCCGAGTGGCACCGAGTGACCGCTTCCGCGGTTCCACTTTGTGGCTGTCACTCGAGCGATCGCCCAGGAGAGAGGGGGGTCGGGCGTTCGGCCCAGAAGAGCTGCGCATTCAGAGTGGTATGATCGTCTCTATTCCCTGACTCTGTCCGAAAGATGTTCGGACCTCTCCGCGCTTGGTTTTCACAGTCAGGGGTTCAAACTTGCGTTTCTTCTTAAGGATGCTGTAAAGTATGATTGTTGCCAGTGTTTGAAGACGGTGTTCCAGTTGCAGCGTAGGCTTCCTTTTCGGATCGGCGCTTTGCTCCCGTCGTTGAGAATGACGCTCTCGCACCAGCGCGGGACATGTTTCTGGATCCGAGTCCGTTTTCATTATTGTTTCCTTCCTCGTCCTCCGTTTCCTCCTGCTCATTATCTTGCTCATCCGCCACCTCCTCCAATGTACGCAGCTCCTTTCCGATTGTGCATAACACGATGGGGCCCTCTTTGGAGCCAAAGTTCAGCTATGACACGCGTCGGCAGATAGGGGAAAAAATGTTCAAGGGGAAAGGATGGGTGGAAGTAGTAGGATGTGAGGTATGTCGCGAGCGTACCGAGCTTGCTCCCCCCCTCTTTCTCTTCTCCTTCCTCCTCCTCATCCTCCTCCTCCTCTTCCCAAGGCCCGTCACCTTCTCGAAGGGCGGTCCTCCTCCCCCATCCTCCTCTTCCTCCCCCCCCTTCCTCCTCCTCCTCCTCCTCCTCCCCTCCTCCTCCTCCCCCCTCCCCCTCCTCCTCCTCCTCCTCCTCCTCCTCCTCCTCCTCCTCCTCCTCCTCCTCCTCCACCTCCTCTTCATGCTCCTCCTCACCAGAGCAGCAGTGCACAGTTCTGCTGGTTCTGGGGAGCGGAGCCCACCGATTCCATCTTGGCGCGTTTTCTTCCCATTATTTTCAGATTATCAGTATCCTCCTCCTCCTCCTCCTCCTCCTCCTCGAAACCCTATGAGCTAAAGAAAATAACATGCATCAGCTGTTACGAACTCCCTATGACCGTCACCCTCCTCCTCATCATTATTCTCCTCCTCCTCCCATCCTCCTCCTCCTCCTCCTCTTCCTCAGCCTCATCTTCCTCCTCCTCATCCTCCTCATCATCATCCGCATCCTCATACCCCTCCATCTTCATGATCGCCATCACCATCATCATCCTCATAAGTATCAGCATCAGCATCAGCATCGCCACCGTCACCATCATCAGCAGCATCACCACCATCAGCATCGCAATCAGAATCGTACTCGTCGCCGTCATGAGCATTACCACCACCACAATCATCATCAGCATCATCGGCATCGTCATCATCAGCAACATCATCAGCATTGTCAACGTTCTCATCATCATCATCAGCAGCAGCATCAGCAGCAGCAGCATCATCGTTATCATCATTACCAGCAGCATCATCAGCCTCATCATCGTCATCGTCATCATAATCATCATCAACATCGTTAGCATCATCAGCAGCATCGTCAGCAACGTCACCATCATCATCAACACCACGCTCATCCTTCGAAGCAAAAACATCAGCATCGTCCTCATCAGCCTCATCATCATCAGCAGCCTCACCATCATCATCCTCATCCATATCGTCACGTGTATCTTCATCGGCGCCGTCGTCACCATCATCATCATCATCATCATCATCATCATCAACAACAGCAGCAGCCGCAGCAGCAGCATCATCAGCAGCATCATCATCGGCCTTCCCCTTCTACTCCCTCTCATCCTGCTCCTTGCGTGTCTTAAGCCTGCCCCACGACACCCGAGTTCGACATCGCCCCTCCAGCAGGGAGCGCCGTCTGTCGGGGACGCCTTTGGGACCTATATCTAGGATCTACGGTCAGGAGCTTTCCCTTAGCATGTCGCGCCGCCGATTTTGGCCAGCCACGCTCAACACGTCCCAGCTCAAAGGTTCTGCACTCCCAGCAGTGCTTCGTCCATTTCGGCCCCGGAGGGCCGCTTTCAGGCCCAAAGGGCGTCGAGAAATTGTGCGCCACCAAAAACCAGCCCCACGGAAGGGGTCGAGCGCAATGGGGGGATGTAGTCAAAGCCCGATTTCCAGATGCAAGGTGCTGGTGGAAGTTCTTTGTGCGTCGATGCTAGAAGATGTCACGGTGGCATGTGGCCCAGGAGCTGGCACGTGGACGAGGTTGCCCATGCATGGGTCGTAGAGTTCAGAATGCAGGGCAACCCTGGCAGAGATCGGCCCTCCTCAGGCAGCCTTTGATTCTAGCTGATGGCTGTGACTGCAAATGGTTGTAAATGCAAAGTGTTCGTCGTAGGTCCTCCCTCTCTTCCTCACCCTCGGCGGAGGCGTTCGTGCAGGCTGTGAAGGTGGTGCCCTACAGCGTGTTGGGCACCCAGCTCCGGCGAGACCAGTCGGTGGTGGCGGTAGGCGATGCTCCCGATGAACTGACGGCCGTGCTCGATTCTGCCGGACATGGGGTGTTAGTTGGAGGGCCGAAGGTGGCAGGCGGCGCGGCGATGGCGATATACAAGTGGGCAGGCATCGACGCCGACGTCGCCTACGCCGAGGACGTCAAGGCCGCCCTCCGTCACGCTGGCACCGCGAAGTACCACAGCTACGCCAGCAGGCAGGTCATCCACGCTTTCGGACCCGATCTGCGCGTCCTCGAGGCCGAGCACGTGGACGAGGCCCCCTCTTACGCTGGTCTCCTCCGCCTCCTCCTCCTCCTCCTTTTCCTCCTCCTCCTCCTCCTCCTCCTGCCCCGTCCGAGGCCCTACAGCAGCTGGCGGGGGCATATCGCGCGTCGCTGACCGAGTTTGCCGCCTCCGGGCTGCCTGCGCTGAGGCTGCTGCCGATCTCTGGAGGCACTCGGGCCGGGCCCTTCGGCCCTCGCATGCCCTGGCTGACCGCCGACGCGCTGAAGCTCGGGTTTGCGCGGCTCCCCGCGGAGCAGAGGTCGGGGAACAAGAAACGGTATGAGCAGAAACTGTGGAGGTCCGCGCGGACTTCTTGGATCGGCGCTGAGCCTCCTTGGCTCCTCCAGCGCCGTCCTCGACGCGCTCTGGGGGTTCCAGCGCCGCCGCCAAGAGATCCACGCGGGCCGTCGCAGGCTTCTCGGGTGGCCTTCGGCCCATGCCGCCACCGCGCCTGGGCTGTTGGTGAGAAGCCTCCCGGATGCACGTGGGGGGATCTCCTGGGAAGCCTCTCGGAAGCCTCCCCTGGAGGCGGCTTTGAAGGTGCCGTGGGGGGGCCCTCGGGGGGGCCGCGGACCGTCGAAGGGCCTGTGCTTCTGCCGCGTTCTTCACCGAGCGCGTTTCACTGCTCGCAGAGTGCCTACTCGCCAACGCCCGACAAAGGCATGTCTTCCTCCAGTTCATCCTCCTCCTCCTCCTCCTTCTCCTCCTCCTCCATGGACCCTAGATCCCCCGCGGCGAATCCAGGCCGTTTGCGAGCAGCTCCTCGCAGCTACCCTGCGAGCAGTGGAACGCGCCTGTCTACTCCTCTTCTCCTGAGAGGGCGGCGGTGCTCACGAGGCGGGCGGAGCTCTGCGTCTTCGCGGAGGCCGACGCCGACGCCTTCCGCGGCGCGCTGCGGGGCGTCGACGCGCGGCCGCCGGAGCGCGGCGCGGGCCACGGGCGCGGCGCGGACAGCTCGGACAGCGACGAGGGCCTGCCGTGGCACGCCAGGAAAGCATCATCGTCAGAGCTCGGTGGGAGGGCTAGCGGGTGAGGGCGTTCCTCCAGCTGTAGTTGTGGGTTCCCCCTCCTCCTCCTCTGGGTGCTGCCACCGCCGCCGCCGCCACGCTTCTTGTGTTTCACCGCTCTAGTATTGATGTATAGACCGTTGGATGATCTCATCTCTTAGGCTGTCCACCATAACTGGTGGTGGTGGTGGTGGTCAGCTCTAAGAGAGGAGGAGGAGGAGGAGGAGGAGGAGGAGGAG